AAAATTGACTTTCAAATACAAGACTCAAGAGCAGCATGAAAAGGTAAACAGGAAAAAGAAATCATAAGGGTCTTAATAAAGTTGAATTGTTTACATCCCTACATGGAAAAATGTTATTTGTAACTCATGAGACCTTTCCCATTATTTGAGTTGTTGGGGGGACTATATATAGCCAGAAGGCAAAGAGTAAGTTGAATATAAAGGGATGATATCTTAAAAATAAAATTAAGGCGTGAGAGAGGAATGTACTGGGAGAAGGAGAAAGGGAGAGATAGAATGGAGTAAATTATCTCACATAAAAGAGACAAGAAAAAGTTTTTACCGCAAAAAGGAAGGGGGGAGGTGAGAGGGAATGAGTTAACCTTATTCTCATTGGAATTGGCTTAATGAGGGAATAACATACACACTCAATTGGGTGTAGAAATCTATATTACCCTACAGGAAAGTAGGAAGGAAGGAGATGGGGGGGTGATAGAAGAAGGGGCAGATTGGGGGAGGGGGTAATCAGAAGCAAACACTTTTGAGGAGGGAAAGGAGAGAATAGAATAGATGGGGAGCAGGATAGGATGGAGGGAAATATAGTTAGTCTTTCACAACATGACTATTATGGAAGTGTTTTGCATGAGTACACATGTATAACCTATATCAAAATGCTTGTCTTCTTAATGAAGGTGGGTGGGGAGGGAGGAAGGAAGAGAATTTGGAACTCAAAGTTTTAAAAATGAATGTTAAAAATTGTTTTGCACATAACTGCCCTATCATGCCCTACAGGAAAATAGAAGTAGAAGACGATAAGAGAAGGGGGGGGAGATAGAAGAGAGGGCAGATTGGGGGAAGTAAATAGTAATCAGAAGCAAAATGCTTTTGAAAGGAGAGTGCAAATAGAATAAACAGGGGTAGGGGGAATAGGATGGAGAGAAATACAAGTAGCAATAGTAACTGTGAAAAGAAATTTGAAGCAAGTTTCTCTGATAAAGACTTCATTTCTCTAACACATAGAAAACTGTCAAATTTATAAAAATGAGAGCCATCCTTAATTGATAAATGATCAAAAGATATAATTAGCTTCCCAATGAAATAATTAAGGCTATCTATAGCCATATGAAAAAATATTCTAACTAACTATTGATTGAAATAATGCAAGTTAAAACATTTCTGATGGGGCAGCTAGATGGCACAGTACATAGATCTCTGACCTTGGGGTCGGGAGGACTGAAGTCCAAATCTGGCCTCGGACACATGACCCTTACTAGCTGTGTGACCCTAGGGAAGTCACTTAACCCCTATTGCCTCACAAAAAAAATCAAAAACAAACAAAAACAACAATTCTGAAGTATTACCTCATAGCTATTAGATTAGATAATAGGTCAGAAAAGGTAAATGACAAATGTTGGAGGCATGTGGGAAAAATGAGACATTAACATACTATTGTTGGAATTGTGAGCTGATTAAAGCATTCTATAGAGCAATTTGGAACTATGCAAAAAGGCCTGGAAAAACATGAATACCCTTTGACATAGCAATACCACTACTAGGTCTGTATCCCAAAAGAGATTTTGAAAAAGGAAAAGGACCTATATATACAAAAATATTTACAACAGATCTTTTTCTGGAGGTAAAGAATTAGAAATTGAGGGACTGCACATCAATTGGGGAATGGCTGAATAAGTTGTGGTATGTAATTATGATGGAATACTATTGTACTATACTATTGTACTATAAGAAATGATAAACAGGATGCTCTCAGAAAAACCTAGAAAGACTTACAGGGGTTGATGCAAAGTGAAATGTACTGGGTACAAAGTAACTGCAATATTGTAAGATGCTATCTGAGCAACAGCAGCAGGACTCTTCAGGTCTATGGGAGTTTATCCAAACACTTCAATCGACTGTCAATGACCCAGCTATTCTCAGCAATACAACGATCCATGACAACTCTAAAGGACTTAGGATGAAAAATGCTATCCATCTGCAGAGAAAGAACTGATGATGTCTGAACTCAGATTGAAGCAACTTTGGGTTTGAATGTTTTTCACTTTATTTTTCTTGAGTTTTTTTGTCTATGTTTTCCTTCACAACATAACTACTATGGATATATTTTGCATGACTATACATATATAACCTATATGGAATTGCTTGCCTTCTCAATGAGGGTGGATGGGGAGGGAGAAAGGGAGAGAATTTGGAACTTAAAGTTTTAAAAACAAATGTTTAAAAGAAAGTCTTACAGCATTTCCTATAAATCCACATGAACGAGTTTATTTTTTTTGCTTTCTCCTCTATAGCAATTTAATTTCCCTTTCTGAAACTGAATCATTTAAGTTCACTATTTGGTGTACTACTATTTTTGGTACTTTTATATTTTTGTGGGCATTACTCTATTTTCTTTAAGTTCTCATTTTTGCTAGTATATAATTGTGTATTGTAGATCCTGGTAGCTATTTTCAAAAGTTTATCTTTGTTGTGACTTCTCCACATTCATTTAAAATTTTATTCACTTGATTTTCTTCCCTCTTTTTTTAAAAAATCCAATTGGCTAAAGATCTATCAGTTTTGTTAGTTTTTTTCAAAGAAGCAGCTTTTAATTTTATGATATGTAATTGTTTTTTAATTTATCTATTGCTTCTTAAATCTTCCAGATTTCCTCTTTGGTGCATATTTTAAGTATATTTGTTTATTTCTAAATCTTTTATTGTGTGCAATAGCCCTTCTGATAAGACTACCTCTGAGGAGGCCTAAGTCAGTACAGTTTCTAGGAGTGGTAGTTTTTCCAAGCATGAGAAGAGGAGACTCATAATAGGATCAGAAATGGAGGGCAAACTACCATGGTAGTTTGAAAAATCTCTCTGAAGAGAGACACAGAGAGAGTTGGAGAGGTCACAGCAACTACAGTTAGTAGTACTGGAAGAGGCAAATGCAGATAGATGACTCCCTAAAATAATTAGAAGCTTCATAGGAGATCAGTCTTTTTCTTTCCCCTGCTCAAAGCCTAACTTATTACAATTAATCCAGCAGAGGGACTGAATTCTGGCTTCTATATATGTCTTTATCTTTTAGGCAAATTAATCAGTTTAAAAGTAAAAAGTCAATTGAAGTGTTTGGATAAACTCCCATAGACCTGAAGAGTCCTGCTGCTGTTGCTCAGATAGCGTTCCCTAGCCTTTTCCCTATCCTTCACATTTCTCAAACAGACTTAGGACAACAGATGCACAGGATAAATCATTTATTGGACTTTGCAGGAATAGTGTCACCCAAGAGTACTGCCTATAAAGAGGCAGAGCTCAAAGAAGGATACAATCCCCTTGAAGCTTGGAGAAGAGGCAAAGAGGACTCCAGAACTTGTGATTATCATGCTGACAATTCTTTGGAGAAAGCAGTTGGGGAGCCCAGCAAGAAAAGAATGCAGTCTCCTGGGAATCCCTAAAAGAACAAAGATAGGAATCTGATTATAAAATACAGTCACAGATTGAACTGGTGGAAAACAATTCAATTTAATAAACATTTATTAGATTCCTATCATGTGCCAGGTAGGTACTGTGCTGAGTGCTAGGGATACAAAAAAAGGCAATCCTTGCCCTCAAGAAGCTTACATTCTAATGGGGGAGGGGGGGAACTATATACAAAACAAGTTATATACAAGATAAATAGGAAATAATTAACAGAGGTAAGGCACTAGAATTAAAAGGGGTTGCTGAAGGCTCTCTGTAGAGGCTACAAATTTAGTTGGAATTTAAAAAAAAATCAGGGAAGTCAGTAGTTGTAGTGGAGGAGAGAGAGCATTCCAGACATACAAGAGTCAGAAAAAAAATGTCCAGAGCCAAGAGATGTAGTGTCTTGTTTGTGGAACAGCCAGAAGGATAGTGTCATGGGATTGAAGAGTACATGTTGGGAAGTAAGTTATAGGAAGACTGGAAAGGTAGAAGGGGCTAGGTTATGAAGGGCTTTGAATGCCAAACAGAATGTTTTGTATTTGATTTAGACACAATAGGTAGCCACTGGATTTCATTGGGGGAGGGGAAGTAATATGGTCAAAACTGTGCTTCACAAAAATCACTTTAGTGGCTAAGTTCAGAGAGACTTGAGGTAGGCAGACTCACCAACAGGCCATTTCAATAACACAGGTTTAAGGTGATAAGAGCCTGCACTAGAGTGGTGGCAGTGTCAGAAGAGAATAGGGGCCCTATTCCAGAGATGTTGCAAAGATAAAATTGGCAGACTTTGGCAACAGATTAGTTATGAGGAGTGAGAGATAATGAGGAATCCAGACAACTCCTAGGTTGCGATCCTGATGGACTCGGGGGTGGGGGGATGATGTTGCCCTCTACAGTAATAAGGAAGGTGGGGGGGGGGGTTTAGGTGAAAAGATAATTAGTTCAGTTTGGGACATATTGCATTTAAGATGCCTACTGGACATCAAGTTCAACATGTCTGAAGGGCAGTTGGAGATGTGAGGTTGGAGGTCAGCAGAAAGCTTGAGAGGGCAAGAAAGATAGATTTGAGAATCATTGGCATAGTGCTAGTAATTAAATATATGGGAACTGATGAGCTCAGAAAGTGAAGTAGTACAGAAGGAGAAGAGAAGACCCAGGACAGAACCCTAAGGAATACCTATGGTTACAGAACATGATCTAAAGGGGCATCCAGCAAAAGAGATAGAGAAGGAGCAGTCACACAGATAAGAGGAGAACGAGGAGAGAGTCATGTTCTAAAAACCTAGAGAGAAGAGAGTATCAAGGAAGATAGAAGATCAACAGTTTCAAAGGCTGCAAAGAGGTCAAGGAGAACAAAGGTTGAGAAAAGGTAATTGGATTTGGTAACTAAGACATCATTAGTAACTTTGGAGAGAGTAGTTTCTGCGGAATGAAAAGGGCAAAAATCATATTGTAAGGAATTAAGAAGAGAATGAAAGGAGAGAATGTGGAGGCACATATCGTAGAAGGCTTGTTTTTTTTTTTTTTAGTTTAGCAGCAAAGGGAGGAAGAGATATAGGATGATAGTTATCAAGAATGGAAGGAGAGAAGCTTGGAACCTGAAAGAGAAATATACACAATGGAGGTAAATTTGGTCCATGAGAAGGCAAGAGATAAATTGTGGCAGATTCAGCAAATACTATCTGGGATGAATGGATGATCCATGGAAGTGGAATTGTGAAGATGAGGCCAGGAAAAAAAAAACAAAAACAAAACAAAACAGGAAAGTACAATTTCTTGTACCTATAACCCCTTTTGGGAAACAGGGACAGATATCTTTTAGGAGAATCAGAGGTGAAATATAATTAAATGAATTACTAAAATGAAGAATATTTCCCAATCACAGCGTGTTAATGCCACTTCCACTCTCACCCCAATTCCTAGCCCTGATCTCCCTTCAGACTTGCATTTCCCAATCCCCAGCCTTGAGCTTATTCCACATCCTCATTCCAATCTTCAGCACTGATCCCCTTCCACACTCTCCTTAAATTCACACACATCAATTTCAAGGGAACAAGAAGGTAGAGAAGATAAGGATAGGGCAAGGAAAGGAAAGGTAGAGAAAAGGAAAGTTGAGTAATGTTGTATGTAAATATAGGATAATTAAAATAATGATAATCAGAAAGAGAATGTTAATCACCTTCACTTCTCCATTTTAAGCAGTTGTTTTAAAGGAATATGTTAGGATGACCAAGGAGAAATAAACATTGGGGACTCACAAAAAAGCAGGGTCTCACCAACCTGATCTATATTTGTCCACCTTTTGTGGCTGTCCCCTGAGGTACCCTGTTCTGGTTTTCTAAAGAAGCATGATTCCCAGGGAATAGCACCAAAGTTAAATATCACAGACCTGAAGGACAGAGTCAGCTTCCTTATTGGTCAAGCTTCTAGCAATGATCTGTGGAAAAAAAGCAAGATGCCAATAATATTTATACCCAAGACCTACTTAGCTTTTGTTTGCCAAAGGGAAGGAAGAGGAATAGAACTTTCTTGGGTAATGATAAGGAAACGAATCGGAGAGAGTTTCCATCCCATAGAGTCTTTCTTAATGTCTAGAGAAATTGAGAATAAGGAGACAGGAATAAGCAGAACTTACCAACTTCAGATATGTCTAAAATGTTTTCCTTCCTAAATCCTCTTCTTATAAAATCTTCCTCAAATTTTTTCTTGATTTCGTTGCTCAGATATGGAGTCCGGCCTGCAAGTCAGGGTGAAAGTGAGAATTGTTAGTGAATCTCACTGATCGTTTACAAATACCAAGGAAAGAAATGACTGCATGAGAGAGGAATAGAGAGACATGGAGAAGGAATTTATACCCATTATACAAATTTGGGGATTGGAGCTGTCATGTTGCCTGGTATGAGGTATGCCATTTCATACCTTGAAGAAAGGAGGAGAGAGGATCCCCTAATCACTTAGTAAATCAATCAACAAGTATTTATAAAGCACTCACTATAATTTATATACAGATGTTGTGCTAGAATCTAAGGATAGAAAGATGAGCAAAAGACACAGCCCACAGGGTTTATAGTCTAGAGAGTATAGAAAGGATATTATATCTTCACAGATAAGTAAATATAAGATGGTTTTCTAGCTAGATATAGATATATGACAAATACAAAAGTAATTTTGTTGAGTGGAACACCAGCAACTGCGAAAATCAGGGAAGGTTTTTTGAAAGATGTGGTACTTGACCCAAACCTTGAGGGAAACTTGGAGATCCAAGGGATGGAGATGAGAAAGGAAAGCATCTCAGACAAGTGCAACAAGCTGTGCAGTAGCACAAAGGCAAAAGATGTCTTCTATGAGCAACAGCAAGTCGATCGATTTGGCTGGAACATAGAATATTACGAACATAATCAGCCTAAAGAAATAGACTTAGAGCTAGCTAATCAACCACCTTAAATGGCAAAAAGAGGAGTTTCTATTCTGTGCTGGAGGTAAGGTAACAGAAAGCCACTGATGCTTTCTGAGTAGGGTAGTACCTTGGTTAGTCCTGTGTTCTAGGAATATCCATTTGGTGGCTCTGTAGAAAATAGGTTTGAGATGGGAGATGCAGAATACAGGGAGAACAGTTAGGTTGGTTGGTCATTGCAATACTCTAGGTCATAGGTAAGGAGGACAAAAATTAGGGTAGCTATACTTTGAATAGACGGAAGAGAATGGGAGGGAGGGAGAAAGAGAAAGAGAGAGAGACAGAGAGAGAGA